TAGAATAGTTTCATATCAAGGAAATGTAACAAAAATGTCGTTAGTATTTTAGTATATAGAGTTCATAAACTTACCAGTAATATAGAATTATTTAAAACAAGAAATAAATAATATTAAATGTTATGTAAGTAAGAATAATTTTCCAATAAAAATAATAACTAGCATAATCAACAAGTACATGAAGAAATTTCCATCCTTGAAGAAGGCATATATAATGTACCAAAAAAGATTCTTCATATAACACAGCAATTCATTGGTAAACATGCCTTGGAAATACAGAAGAACTAAAGATTTTACTATGTAATATTTATCTGCAAGTAGAATTTCGAGTCTTCCTTAAACCCATCATCAGAATAAGAAATTATTTTGTGCTTAAAGACAAAACATGCAAACCAAACTGCTCAAATGTCATCTACAAGTGTAAATGATCTAAAGTAGGTATAGGAACTACTTCTGAATTTTCAATTAATAACCCCACTCCCTGGTATACCCCACACCTGAAGAAAAAGTGCTTCAAGAAACTTTAAGGCACATATTACTGCACTGCATATATCCTGCAAGGTAGTAACACAGACGAATTTTAGAAGACACGAAAAACTGAAGAATCTTTTTACATTAAACAGAGATTCCAGATTAGAGGCAAGTAACCTGTGGCTACCATTGGTTGAATCTACAGAAAGTCTTTCCACCAATCAGAAACAGTGATAAACCATCAACATGTCCTCCAAAATGCACCAGAATACTATAAAGACTGACAACACCACACACACATTCACCTGAAGACAAGAGGTGGAAGACTTTCGACACATCATTCTCTGTACTTGTGTTTCTATAACCAGCAGTTGTCATCCATTCTACTAAATTCACCATGTTAGCTGTTGAATTTTATATCATTTTTATGAATTCATCCAATTATTATAAATCGCTATAAAAATTACTGCCATATGATGTCTGCTGTCAATACTTGGAAGAGAAAATGTAAAAGTTACACAGCTGAATTCAAACAAAAAGCTTCTCAGTATGCAAAAGAACATGGCAACAGTGAGGCTGGTTATGTGTTTGAAGTGGATGAAAAACTGTGCGAAAGTGGTGGAAACAACAGCCAAAGTTAAAAAAAATATCAAAGATTAAATGAGCCATGGAGGTGGATATACAAAGTGGTTAACATTGGAAGAAGATCTGAAGGCTTGGGTTATATCAGAGAGATGTGGGATTTTCAGTATACACAACCCTGCAAATGGCCAAGCAGATGGGTATTGTAATTTTACAGGAGGACCATGGTGTTTGAAATTCATGAAACGAAACAGACTATCTGTTAGACCCAGGATGTCGGTTGGCCAAAAGCTATTCATAGACTGGGAAGTTAAAGTGGAAAGCTTCTTATAGTTTGTTGAAAACTAGAAAAAAAGAAGAAGAAGAAGGAATAAAACTTACCAGTTAAAGTCACACCGAAATCTGGAGAATGGCCACAGGTGGTAGAAGAAAAAAGACAAAGAGGAAAGAGCTACATGATGAAGATAGTGGGAGATGAACATATTGGGAGTGGTCCACATGCCAGACAGTAGAATCTCCTCCATCAAATGATAAAGATGAGAAGCAAGGGAAAAAGTGAGAAGTCGGATCTGATGGGAGGAAATCTGGAACAAGGTATAGGAGAAAGAAGGTAAAGAAGAGTAGGCCAAATTAACCAAATGGTGGACCCCAATTAGTAGGTGAAAGATCATGAAGAGAGGAAGATTGCCATGTGATAAAAAGTTAGTTGCACATACCCTGAAAGCTAGCAGAACGTGCTACATAACAACAAAGGGCTCTGACTGGACACAGAAGGCTATCTGGATCTGTTCGAGGGTAAAGATGGGATATAGAAGGAAGGGAAATAGGAGAAAATTATGAACAACCCTCCAAAGCTGCTGAGGTCTTAGGTGGAAAGGAATGATCAGTATAAAAGAAAAGATAGGTAGGGTGATAAAGGGTATGTGAAAAGTTAATGGCAAACAAATTCAACCGTTGATGTCACAGGCTAAGAGCAGAAGAAAATATGTTTTAAGGGACAGATAAAAGAAGGAACACGAGGAAAGTGGTTCAAACAAAGGTAAAGTAAGGGCATGTGCCAATCTGGAAGGGCAGGACGCCTGGGAGGTCGATGTATCCAGAAGGAGCGTATGAGCAGGGTAGAAGCAGGGGAAGTAAAAACCCAATGATACTGGGAGAAACAGAAGGTATGGGATAGGGCCACCTGCTATCAAGAAAGCGAGAAGGCCGAAGATCCACGGTCCAAGAGCCAAGTGAGAAATTCTACCATACAAGACACAGGAGGCTTGTCAACAGGAAACCCCCTGTTAGCATATCAACAGCGGAAGACTTTCCACTTGTGTTGGTATACTTCCATGGAAGATGGCTGTATAGAACTAGCCAACAAGAAAGCAACTCGACATGTGAAACTGGACTGTCTCGCCAAGGACTGGACAAAAGCCAGGCATGAAGATGTAGGATGTAGAAGGTGAGATCAAGGTTGATGAAGAAGGAAGGGGGAAAGTGGAAGAGGGACAGGAGATGATAGGAGCAGACATTGTAACCTTGGAAACCAAGTTTGAGCTGGCCAATATGGAGCACTCAGGAGGACCCAACAAGGAGTGGAGTGGACAAAAGAAATCACCTGTTGAAGCAATCGGATGGGAAGGTATACATAGATATTTGTGTAACCAATCCTGGCTGAAGGCATCGACAGCTAAAGCCTTAGAAGAAGAGATACCAGCAAGGAAGAAACTCTAACAGCCTTACTTCCACGAGACCCAAGCTCACAGGGTAGTCACAAGTACTGGTGGTAACTGGGGTTACGTCATTGAGAAGAAGTACCCCAATTAGAAGGAATGGGTAAGGTTTGGGAGGATGAAGGATGGGAAATGAGAATAGTTGGCAAATGAAGCTCTGACAAAGACAAACAGGCTACAAAAGTCATAAGGGTTGATTGCTGGCAGACAGATGTCATCATAAACCTGAGACACAACATCCATAAATACAGAATTAGCCCTAGGTGATTCCTCAGGCTGCAAACTGAAAGGAACAGCAAACTCTGGAGGCAGGAAAAGACATTCAAAGTCCTCATCTTGGTGAACAAGTTCAGCTGACTCAGGAGGAGCTTGGGGACAAAGGTTGACCCATGTAGCACTCAATCTCCTGACACAAAAGCAGAGATATCCACCATTGGGTTGCCCACACCTGAGGCTTGAGAAAAAACACTGATTGCTGGTGTGATCCACAAAGTGTTAACATGAACTTTGGAATTCACAGCACAAGAAAAGGTTCACAAAATTTGGGTGCAGAAATATAGAAACAAGAATGAACTGGTGTAAAAGAACATAAAGTTAAAAAAGGAACCACTTCGTGTGAAAAAAAAATTTGTCTGTCACACTGGAAGCACTAGGCACACAAAAGAGTACATCTTTACTCAGACACTGCCAAACAAGAAGTGAAAGTTTGGTAGAGGAGAGTAGAGGGAGTCACATGCATCTAGTGAGCATATCATGCTACAATTGATTAACAGATGACACATGATGATTTACATGAGACATGGTGGAATTACGACATTCCAATATGAATATAATAATTCCAACAGGGTGGGGGAGAGCAGAAGGCTTGTGGCATGCGTGAAGAAAAAGTTTCCATATAGAGGGCAGCACTGAACAAGAATAGCCAATCATGTGAGGGGGATGCAAGTACCGTATTAGAATTTCAACTTCAAATCTACATGGATTTTGCCTAGTTCAAGATTCAGATCTAACGTTCAATTTAAACTTCAACTTCAGAGAATTTCTTAACTTTAATAACTCTCTCTCTCTCTCCAACAAAGTCACTTTCCCTTGTAGACACATTTTGTTTCGTGTGAAAAATTAATACAGATGGATTCATTTAGTGTAATATTGTGTCCAGTCTGTTTCTCTCTTAACCTCAGTTAGGTTCAGAGAATTCAGATTTATTTCGTACATTTTGGCCAAAACTTCCTGTTTTTCTGCAGTCTACCTAATCACTCTGGCAGGAAAACATAACATCTGAGAATATCATTACAGTAAGCACAATTAACACAACTGTGACTCACAGTTTATGTTTATGTTGAAACAACAGCAACCAAAGTATAATTTTTTGAACACACTATGAAATAAAGTTTTAAAGTGAAATGATTTCTATTATTGCTTATGAAAAAATAGAAGAGACAGCTCTTTTAAAATACTTTTGATGAAAAATAATAAAAACAGTAATATTCATAATATATTGATTTTGACATTGTAATAAGTTTTAAAAAGATTCTTCATCTAAGCTATGACACAACATACAAATCTATAAGTTTGCTTCCTTTTATTAGTTCTATTGTGAGTGTATAGATTTGTGCCAAGGTGAAAGGTATATTAACAAAGAAAATTTAATAATAAAAAGCTTGCTATTACCTTATATATTTGTCTGTGCTACCCAAAATCACATTGGAGAGCTTCTAAGAATAACTAGTTTAATCTATCCAACAGCAAATAAGTTCTGAAAAACACATGACAAAATAATTTTCTGAAGAATTGGTATCTGCACATGTTGGGAGACTAATACAATGAATAAAGTCACTGTAAAAACACAAGGCTAAAATAGAAACACATTTATTTTTTTCAAATAACTACTCTTCATCAGGTTTATTATGAGGTACATATAACTGTTAGTTATAAGTGCCAATACTCATAAGCTATATATTTGTGTGTGTGTATGCATTATACATATATTAAGCCTGAAAAAGAGTAGTTGCTTGAAATATTCTCAAATAAAATACATTTCTTTCAACTTTGGCGTTTTTACAGTAATTTAATTAAGTTACTCACTAAAATAAGGCAAGACTGAAAACAGTCTTTAGTATGTTCTTAAAACAGCTGGAGATACATTTTATTGTTGACAATTTCAAACATTTTTTAGATGACTATATCCTCTGTACATTATTTTCACCTAAAAAAGGCTAACATACTTACCAATAATACACCAGGAGCAGAGAAGTAGGTCCAGCTATTACTAACTCTAACGTTCTCCAGTTCCGGACAAAGTAGGCAACAAGAGCCAACAGTAACTCTCCGAAAGCAAATACAACTTGAAGCATGTTAGCACACCAAAGTCTTCGAGATACCCCAACAGCTTCCACCACTGCACAGTTAATGGTTAAAAAATTAAATGAAATAGGTCCTGATGAACTTAAGAATTTCTAACTTCAGAAATGAGATTTAACTATAGTCAATTAATAATTATGGACCTAAATATTCCATTCATGTTTTAAAATATTTACCTCTGGTATCAGCAATAAAATTAACTGAATTTCAAACCTATTATTCCAATAAAGACAGAATGAAAAATATACTCAGATTTGACCAATATTATTAATCTCTAAATGCTAAGATGCAAGTTCTTTAATTTAATTAATACCTATTCTTTGCCAATATGTTTTTTAATTATTCAAAAGAAAAAGCATAAAGGTAATCCTTTAAATCAAAAGGATAAAACTGTTTTAACAAAGGTGATATACTCATGCAGATGTTTCACCTTGATGTTTTTATTACTAAAGCATTTGATAAACCAGTTGTTTAAAACTTAAATAAAATTTTAAAAAATGGTTAACTATTATTTTACTTTTTATTTGTTATAAAAAAAATTACAGAAGTTTCTGTTATGGTTAAAAGCAAGATTGTGAATGATAAAATCTGTTTAAACTAATGATTCAGTTTTAAACAAATGCTTATTCAGTAATCAAAAAATTAATAAATAGTCAATTCTGGAACTATGAATTCTGAAGATTTTTGAAAAAACTGCAAATTTTTTTTTCATTATGTGTTTTTTACCTATTAGCAATTACATGAAATACATAACACTTTTTCCTTCATTTTCATCATTGTTGATTAAGCCACAAACTAATTAATACTTACCTTAGTAAAAAAAAAAACAACAACAACAACAAAAAACCAAGGTTACTAATTATAAGAAATATTTTAATTGATTTGTCATCCTTTAACAACAGATGACAGTAATATTAGACAGATTAATACTTTTTAGGAACAATTATAGTTAAATTTCCATCCGGGAAAACAAAGAATAAAAATATAATTCATGGATGCTCAATGGACAAACTTAGTCAAAGGGAAAGCTTCTGTATGGAACTACTGCTTATTACACCATGTATGCTTATCATAAAGCACAGCAACACAATTCCTATAAGAACCACACAAGTATTTACCAATTATAACCCCCAAAAAATATGCAAGCAAACACATTCATTTCAAAAAGTTGAAACTGATGTCATTACATAGATTTTTAGTACGTAGAAGTTACATTGTTAGTTTCAAATGCCAATGCTTATAATGCTACACACCTATATTATACATGACAGAATATAATAATACTAACTGAAAATATATACATCTATTTTTGTATCTTACCTATGAAAGATTACTAACTATTAGCAAATATATCATTTAAGAGAGTCTTATTTTTGACTATTCTTCTATGAAAGCAATGCAATGTTTAATTATCATCACTCACAAAATATCCGAGTTTCTCATAATTGAAAAAGACCTTTCCTTACCAGAAGATACTATGTTTGGCAAATAATTGTTGTAAAAAGAAAGTATAAATAGAATAGCAGATAGTATTAACCTTTACAGAATTACAGAATTATTAAAAGCATTTACGATAACTAGTTCTATGAAAAGCATATTTATTTGATTCTGCAAGTAGTTTGCATGTAAATTTATCACACAATGACATCCCTCAACTTATAATTACAACTTACTTTGAAGTATGATTTATGTCATGTTGAAGAGAATTGTAGATCAACAACAAACAATATGTGTAGCACTAATGAAACCTTACTTAATATTAGAATTAGAAATAAGTAATGTGGAAAAGCTGGTTGAAATTTTGGAGCATTTTTTAGAGCTTACTCAAGAATTTAACAATGAATCTTATGTCACTGTATCAAGTTTACCTCCACTGAATCTATTAAAAATCCTCCTACAACCAGCCAACGGTGACTCAGGAGTGATAATGCAGCTTAAACAAGCAACGCTTGAGGATCTTGAAAACTGGTGACATTTTGATCAAACTTTGCTTAAAGGTATGCCTTTCTTGAATGAATATGAGAAAAAAAAAGTAATATAATGAAGAACAAAGTTATTTCATTGTTGACACCAAGTAATCAGCTGTAATCAAGTAATCAGAAATGCGTAATGTGGAAAAGCTGTTTGAAAATTTGGGGCCTTTCTCAGAAGTTACTCAAGAATTTAGCAATGACTCTTTATGTCACTCTACCAAGTTTTTATTTATATTGAATCAGTTAAAAATCTTCCTAGAACCAGCCACAGGTGACTCAGAAGTGATAGCATAGATTAAATAAGCAATTCTCGAGGATATTGAAAATATTGAATGAATATGAGAAAAAGAAAGTATGTAATATGATAAAGGATGAATTTATTTGATTGTTGACACCAAGTACTCAGCTGTTCAGAGGAAATAAGCAAAGTCAGTTGATTGGAGAAGGGACACCTTCATGTAATTTCAGTGCTCAGGAAATTAAAGAACTACAAATGAAAAAAAAAAAAGACCACTGTTGGTTTAAAGCTGCTGGCATCTATTTAGAAGAATATGAACATGTCCACAATACAGAAATATCTTGAAATGATTGCTGAAGACCGAGTGAATTGGTACATGGTCACTTACTAACTACATCTACAAGGCAACCTATTGAAATTCTGGTCAGATAATGCTTATTTGTACCCACAGCTTAGTAGACTTACATTTAAGTATCTGGTAATTCAAGCAACCAGCACCTCTGCACAAAGGATGTTTAGTAGTGCATGTTATATTTTGAATACCAGGCAAGCCTCACCAGATTCAGAGAATGTTAAAATGTTTACCTTTCTTAGCTGCAACATTTAACATTGTTAACTGTTGACTTTTTTGCAAGAACTAGTCACTAAAACTCTTAAAAGACTATGTTAAATTGTTATTTTTATTAAGTGAGGATCTAAGCATTGTGATATTTAAGTTTCTACTTTCTAATGTAGAACTTATGTTTCTTAGTTTCTTCAATTTTAAATAATCATTCTATATTTTGTTATGTTTGTCACACCAGATACAACAATTAAGGTCTCAACATTGTCACAAACAAGCTTATAAGTATGTAAAACAATACTGAATTGTCTGGAATAATAAGTCTGGAAAAGTATACATACTACAACAATACTAAATTGTCTGATATAACAAGTCTTTAAAAGTGTACATACTACACAGTATTGTTCTAAATGGTTACTGATCTAATCTACATAAAAGCCAGCATGTGTAACATGCAAGGGGGCTGTGAGGGGAGTGCCGTGAAACCTTATAAGTGTAATGAGCATTGGTATAATAAGCCTAAAGCAAAGACGTTGTGTGAGATCACCTAGCCTAGAGCCAAGTGCATAAAATTTATCATGAAAGTAAAAATAGATCATGTTTTAAATGTAAATTATATTTAAATTAAGGTATTTTCTGTTATATCGCCAATGTTTTTAATAAAAAACAAACTTCTTTAATCAATGGAGGCTCTTTATTAAGAAATCAACAAATATTTCCAGTTTTTGTCTATGCATTTCATTTTATGCATTCAGTACATAGACTAACAAAAATATTAGGTTATACTTTTGATGCTAAGCAACATGACATAAAAGCTATTATTGGAACACAGTGTTACCAAAACACATTGGCATTTTCTATATATTAGAAGTTATTAATCTAACTGATTGTTACCAATAATCATTCTATGAATATACCATGAATTCACTTCATGAATGATCTTAATTTTGATTGGCTCACAGAGGAATTTACTGACGCTTGACTGCCTCAACTGCACTTTTCTACCTTTGTTGGTCAAGCTTGATTTAAAACAATTTATTTATGGTTAAAATATACTATGAGGTGGAGGTGGTAATATTTGCTCCATCATTTTTGATGGGCTATATGTTAGTAAGTGAATAAATATTTTGTTGTTTCTAAATTTTAAACAATGCAGTCACCTTGCACGTATGACAGTTTTATGTACAAAGTTTAGAATTTAAAAAGTAACTTAATTCTAAATTATTGTGCCTGAAGGATGAAGACAGGATTTCCTCTGGTTTTGATATTTTTTGACATTGATAAAATTTTTGAGACAAATTATAAAATGAATTTTATATGTTAATTCTATACACACTTCAGTAATTTTAACCCACAAATATTTTAGAATCAATATTTTATAATTTTCTGACATTTATTGGGAATAATCATAAAGGGAATAATTCATATTTTCAATTTTACACAGCTACAGATAGTTTTGCCAGTAAACAAAATTAAATTGTGGATTTTTTTTTAAGAATTTATCTGTCCTTCCCAAAGAAATCCTTTGCTAACAAAAGTCTAAATTGAATCTCTGTTACAGGCTTGATTATTAAGATGGAAAACATCATTTATACTCACCTACTACATATCCTGTCTGGAACAGTCCAGATACTGCTGCAGCAGTTATAAATCTAAGAAGAATAAATACAACATAGTTGGGGGAAAAGGCAGTTCCAACAGATGATAACACCAACAGCGGTGGAGCAAAAAGAAATACTCGCTTCCTGCCAACTCTGGAAAAAATAGTATTTTAGGTTTTCTACAAAGTATACATATATTACTTCTGATATAATATTAAAACATTATCTCACCTCTTGATTCAAACCAATTTTATAAAAGTGAAAAATGTAATTGCATTATTACATTAGAAATGGGAAGCATAGTAAAGTTGTTTCTGGTTTATAAATTTCAGCAATGAAAGATTTTTTTAAAAACCTGCAAACTTTCCGCATTATTTTTATCTAAAAACATTATATAAACAGAACAAAAAATTTTGAGTGTTTAATAAATTAAATACTTATTGACCATTTTACACAAATAAATATGTTAAAATTAATATGAAGGAGACTTAATCCTTCTTACTTTTAACATTAATACAATAAATTAAATATACAAACACCAATACTTACTTATCAGCCAATGCTCCAAATATAAGCGCTCCAACCAAGATCCCAACCATAAAGACAGAACCAGATAAGGCAACAAACATGCTTTTTTCACAAACCAAATTCCACTAGATATGAACAAGCAAGAAACATGTTTTCATAATGTTTCCCATTTCTGTATAAACTAACTCTTAATATGTTGCTTTTACAATACTAAAAATAATATTTTTTCAATGAGTAATGGGAAGTTGATAGTGAATTTGTAAATGATACTCTTCATTTTCATGCTACCATAAACTTTATCAATATACATTTTGTAGAATATTGTTCAAGATATTTTGTATTATTCTATTCCCACATTTCAGCAAAGTTGTTTATTTGCTTTCAACTTTCTCTTTATTTTAACATAAGCCTATACAGCCTCAAGAATATTCATATCTGGGTTTTGTGAAGGCCATGTGCCTATTTAATTTCCATATGCCTTTTAACCACATTTGCTGTATGCTTGGGAAAATTGTCACTTTGAAAGATGAATCCATACTTGATGAATTGCACTTCTGAGGAAATGGCACAATTAGAACTGTGATTTTGTGGAATTTGCTAACTGATTACATTCAACTAATAAACTAACATAGGGTGACTAATTTTCACATTTTCAGCTTCTTTTTTTCTTTTATCAACATTCTTGAAGCACCTTTCATTTAATATGATAGACAGTTTCATGTAAAATAATTTAAGAATATGTCTGTTTTAATCCTAAGCTGTTGAATAATGAAATTGTATCATATATACAATGTATTATAAAACCCTTAACTTGCTGAAAATACAATAGTGTTTTATGGATTTCTCCCTAAAAATTCCACGAAACTACTCTACTAAAACAACTGAATTTTTGCTGATGAAAATATACATAACTACTTGATATTAATTGTAAAACAGAAAAATAATAAATACAACATTGACTAGAGATCTGGCATGGCCTGCTTATTAGAGCACTCAACTCGCAGTCTACAAGTCATAGATTCAAGTCCTGTCACTGAACATGCTCACCCTTTCAGCTGTAGGGTTATGCATTGTGACATCTAATCCTGTTATTTGTTGGTAAAGAGATCAAGAGATGGCAGTGAATAGGATTTACCAGCTGCCTTTCCTCTAGTCTATTACTTCAAAATTAGGGATGATTAATACAGGTAGCCCTTAATTAGCTTTGTACAAAAGCAAACAAGCAGTGACTAGTGAAATTACTAGTATCTACAGTTAAACAGAATTACATATGAATACAACTACATCAAGGTGATCAATCTTGTGGATACATTAGGTGAAGACACTGTACAAAGGGACAATACACTTGAAATCACATGCCATTTCACTTGTTAGAGGCAAAGGAGAAAAGATTATCACGGGTTTAAAACTAGTCATTATTTTTAACACAACATTTTTGTAATAACAATTTATAATTTTGATTCAGTAAAATGACAGTTCCTCATAAATATCTATTCTTATTTACATGTTTATTAGTCATTGCATATTAGCATTATTATATAACTATTAATTTAACATCCTATCAAACATTTGCAGCTAAATATTACTGGAAAGCAACGATATAATATCTCCACACTATATGTTATCAGTCAATGACTAAATATGAAAAAATAACAGAAATGATTCTTGTCAGTAATGCACTGCAATTCAAAATGACAATACACAATTTTAGGACCAACCCACACTATCATTCAACACTGTCAAAAATGAAAAATGCACTCTTTGCACAACTTTTAAACAATGTACAATCATACTGCATCACTAACAAATGCTGTTCAAATTGAATGATGAGGAACCCACTGTTTAGAAAATAATGCTTGGGTAGTGAAAGAAACAACTAGAAATGTACAATGACTCAACAAACACATCATCAGGTACAAGTAGCTTACACAGACACAGCAATACATTTACAGTATGGAACAGAGAAATCACTTGACCAGAGATTGCTTACCAGCTTAGTAGAGGTATCTTGGTACCCTGAAGTTTAAGTTTAGAGTATGGCTGGTTTGTTCAATTAAGACGGCTTCCTATATTTTGTGTTTATTGATGTTTAGTTCACTGTTTCAAATTACAGTGTTTTGAATAGATATATTGTGCTTTTTGTGTTACAATGGTGGATAAACATGGAGGTTATTATGTTCAGTGAATCTAGTTTTAAATTTTATTACGGTTTCTCCGATTTAGAATTCTCGACAGCTAATTCACATTATTTTATAAATGATGTTATGCAATTCTACATAATTTGTTTATTTAGTAATGATTTTAGTTTAGGGCCAGGTTTTTGAGTGCATTTGAGGTCGACAAGAATTTTTATGTTTAATGGTAAGTTTTCTACAAGTGTGTATTAGTTTTGAATTGATTTCAGGGATGAATGGTAAACTGCAGTGTAATGTTGTGTTGTTCAATTTATTAGTGTTAATTTTGTTTGTAAGTTGAGTAGTTTTGAGGTTTTTGTTTTGGTGGTTGTCGAAAAGTTTCTGACAATATTTCAGAGAAATTTCCTGGTGTGAATGAAGGAATGCTTTATAAGATTGATTTCTTCTATGTAGTCAGTTGAGCAAAGTCTTGAAGCTGTGGATACCGATTTTTTTTGTTTGAAATATAGTGGCCAGTACAAGTTATTTTTTGGAGAATTTTGGTTTTGAACTGTGTGTTGGATCTAATAATGTTGAGGTTAAGAAAAGATAACTGTTATTTTCACGTTTGTTTGTGAATTTTATCTTACGGTGAATGGAAGTTATATATCCAAAGAAAGTGTGTACATGTTAAAAAAAGGGATAGTACTCAACATAGGCTCTGTCTTTACACTGAATCACCAACTAATGGCAACATAACATTCATGCATTGATGCCAACTATTGGTATAAATAAGTAATAGTTAGCTCTGAAGGAAAACCTTAACAAATGCCGTATTTTGTCCTGTTCAGCAATACACCACAATGTAATACATTAGGGTGATGCAATTACAGCATTCCTGTGAAACTTAACAGGAAATGTTACACATGTGTAGTAAAAAGAACATTACTGAAGTGAACAAATTTGTAAGCTTATAAATTTAGTGATTAAAAACATTGATAGAATTCTTTTGCATAGTATATGTAATAGCATTAGGAATTGTGTGCAATGTTTACATTAGTTCCTCTAGCATTACTATACAGCAACAGTATTTATTTACTATTTTTATCCTCTCTCAGATTTCTAAAACATTGAACTTTACACCTATTTTGTGTTGGTAGTGTTGGATGTGTGTATGCATAGATGGTTGTGATGTAGTGTACAATCAATTTTTAAGCCTAGCTGTGGAAAGCACTCAACATGGCAATTGTTCTCCCGTGCTTCAATCTCTTTCTAAACTAAATCTGTGTGTTAGTATATTATACACAATACATACATGTGCATTTTATGGTATGATAAATATTCACAAAATGACATTAGTTTCAAATATGCAAGTTGAATTAATCGCCTAATTCTGAAAGACTAAGAAAATAAACAGCAAAGAAAATGCTGCTGAAATGAAGTTATTATTTATTTTTCAAAGATAAAAGTTAAAACTTTACTCTTTATATGGCTGTATTTTCTATATAGAACAGAACCTGCTTGAAGAAGCTGACTTCAGTAGTTGCAATGCACAGCAATGAGAAGCAAAAACAATAGCTAATGTCTTATGTTGTGCGACACAAGAAACGGAGCTTAACTTAGTTTAAAGCTCTGCATTTCTTTTTTTGTTACACGTGTAGATGTTAAAGCTACTAACTCATAGCACCATGCTTATTATCAACATGCCAGGTAACAGCATAGGCAATACTGTGACCCACAAACAGTATGTTCTATGACACTTCTACTGCAGTCATTCAATTGTATAGCCTGTCACTTGCAGGACTGTAATTGTACTTTTACTTTGTTTCAATTTCTCATAGCACTTAGTACAGTGCTATGTCAGGTGCTGTTCTTATGATACCTGAGAATCAGGTGATTTGCCTGCAGGGAGAACAGTATTCAACCACTATGTGTTAGCAAACATACAGGTACTAAAGTTGTATATAGAGAGCATCAGAGAATGGCACTAAGATTGCTGCAGCAGAAGTTAACATTAATGTATTTCCAATAATACTTACCTCTGCTGACACTTATAGCTATTACTTGACTGGCATGGTTTCATCTTTGCCCATCTAAGCACTGGTCTGATTTTTTCACTTGCTCCAATCTTTATACCCAACTTAATTGCCTTTGGCGATATTTGTCTCGTGATACTCTACTCACATCAGTGCACCCTCTATCCTGGTACTGTATATAAGCACCTCCTTCAGATAATTGTATCACTTTTTCAAGACCAATACTATATCAGTCTTTAACAACTGGCTCTTAGTAGGGAGGAGGGGCTGGACAGTGTCAGTGGAGGCAAGTATTATTGAAAATTCATTTTCGATTTAGGAAATTGTTAACTTCCAAAACATACCTCCACTGCCACTTATAGTTAGAATCACAAACTGAGAGGTGGAGGAGCTGGTGAAGGCATTATCCATACAGAAAGCATCTTCATAATTCATGGGCATACCAAGATAAGAGTGTTATCCAAATGGGAAAACTGCACTACACACAGAACAGGTATGCTCTTTACCCTGAACTTAGTTTCTGTATCAAGGGTGGAACTGTACATGAGTAATCATCACTATAGACCAGCCCCAACCAGGTAGCCAAGGTTCCACTACTCAGGGTTGGAATTAAGGGGTCTTGGTCCCTATATTCCACATTGGTGGCTAGGACAATTAGACCCCAACATTATATATACTTTTGATTGGATCCCAACCTGTAGCTTTAGAGTGATGCATTCTGAACCACTGAAATCATGACGAGAAGGTACGCAACACCAAAGTGAACAAACCTTCTCAACCTGAAGAAGCCTGACAAGTAACACCCCAGGCTTGGAATGATGGGATCATGTATGCCTTACTTAACTGAAGGAACAGAACTCATCCAGTCTAGAATTATGAACATTCATCCTCACTCCCGAACTGAGTTAGAAAGGAGCCTTCCACTTGCCCCTAGAATTATTGGGAGAACATGGAACAACTGTGCTCAACCAAGGA